ATATAAAACTTTGTCTATACTCTAATAAAAAGTTCTCCAGACCAAAGAGGTCACCTTAATACCAAAAAAAAAAAAAACAATATTTTTACAAATTTGCAAGCCCAATATTTCAAAGCAATAAAATATGTATATTAGCAACTTATTGCACCAACTTGTATACAAGTTGGATAAATATTGTTAGCTTATCAAAAGCTAATTTCTTCAATCTTTCTTTCTTCACCAGAGCAAAAGAAAGTAATATTTTCATATTTACAATATAATAATATATATCAAGATACACAACAAAAACAAATCTAAAAAAAAACACATATAATGAAATAAAAAAATATAGTATTAAAGGAAGAAAATAGAAGAACAAAAAAATATAAAAAAAAACAAAGAGAAAAACCCAAGAGCTAACAAAGAAAAAGTGCTAACTAATATAGATTCAATTGATGAACAAAATCATACAAAAAAAAAGTGCTATTATAACCCATGCCAGACTAGTAAAAATTATAACAATTACAATCTATTGTATATCTCAATTGTAAAGTTTTGCTTTAATGTAGTTCTTTTTCTGACTATATAACACCTACTAGATATCTTGTTAACTAAAACTTCAATTCAAGTTCTGTGAAATAATACTGTATTTATAAACAAACAAATTTAAAAAGTAAAAAATACCAATCTTTTGAAAGAGATAAACCAAATTTTCACTTTTTATTAAAAATTTTAAAAGAATAGCAAAAAAGCAAAAGTAAATTATAAAAAAGAAGTCTATACTAATTTGATAGTTTTGGTTACTAAATATAAGCTAAGTAATGTAGCTAGAAATACTATTATTTTATTTTTTAAAAAGCATTTTAAATAATATTAAATCTAACTTGTTATATAAGAAAACCAAAGTACAGTTTTCCTCCTCTATAATTACACTGTTTGTTTTAGCAAAATTGGTGATTGTAAGGGGAGCACTATTTATCATCTGATATTTTTCTACTATTAGGGTACCCCTACCCCACCTGATTATATCTTTTATAATTATTCATAATATATAGTATAAAATTTACAAAACTACGTACTATATATAAATATTACTATATATATACACTGTATATCAAATATATATTATTGTTATATATATACGTACAAATATATATACGTATGTATGTATCTATATACATATATATCTAATTTTGATATTTGCTAAAATTCTGATTTTTTAGTACAAATATAGTTATTTTATACAGTATATATATACATATATACTAATTTTATAACAATATGTAGCGATAGTTATTTAGTAAATATTCTGTATTGCATGTGAGATCTATGATAGCCTGGCCAAATATATAGCAAAGTTGTTTTATAGATGATTGCAAACTTTATATGCAATGAAAGAAAAGCTATATAAAAGCAATTTAATTTTTAATTTTAATAAATCTTAAATTTTTTTAATAAATAAAAAAAAATTGTAATGCCAACTTCTGTCTGATTTTAAGGTTATTTTAAACCCTTAAAATTAACAATTGCTTGCAAATTTAAATGAATAAACCAAATATAAAGAAATTTATTGTATCTAGATAAGAAAATCGCTTATAAATTTAATTAAATTTTTAGAATTAAACTGAAAATAAATCTAACAATTCTTCTCTAGGTCTTTTTATTAAATTATTCATATAATCTTTTATGATGAATTCCTAATCTTGCAATTTTTCCTATTGTAGCTATATCTGATTCATATATATAACACAATTGACTAAATAAAAATAATCTAACAATTCAAAATAACACTAATTTTTTCTCTCTTTAACTTATATAAATGTGAAGAACCTATTATTAGTAAATAAAATTTCCTAAAAGCTAAAGTTCCATGACCAGTTCACACTCAACACTTTAGATACAAAAACCTTTATTATAAACTAATACAGTATGCAAAGCTTTTTAACAACGCTCAATTTTAGTAAAACTTTTTTTTACAAAAAACCTCAAGATTTATATTAAATATTTGTAATGCGTATATATATTACAAACAAGCATCCCATTGTAATCCAACTCCAAACAGTCAAAGGCTTTTTCAAGAATGTAATTTGACTTGAAAACAAATTAAACATGAGTATAAAACATTAATTGAGAAAAAAATACATGAATATTTTAATACTATTTCTTCACATATTTATTCTCATCAATTAAATTTTATTCAGAATAGAACAAATAATTCTAATTCTATTTTATCTTTTCCATCATTTAAAATTAATATACATCTACAACATAACGTTAAACTGCCCAAGAATGCAATAGGTCAATGTGATGCAATTGAAAAAATTAAAGTAGTCAACAAAAAAATGTCAGAGTATAAAAGAATGTATCAAATTTCAACAAACAGATTATTTAAAAAAATACTAGATTCAAACATTCTTAAAGAAAAGTCATTAATTAATAAACAAAAAGTACATTTAAAAAAGCTTAAGTATCACACTAAAGCACAGGCAAGACTTGAAGCAAAAAAAACAAGATTGCTTCAAGAAGAAGGAATAGTAAAGAAATATGATAGACCTGGAAGGCTATCAGCGACAATGAATCATCCAGATTTCTAGGATAAAATTCACGAATGTGTTGAATTTGGAGCTGCACATGCAAAAAAAAAAAAGTTACCATTAAAGTGCAAACTATAAAATATCTTCGGCAAACATTAGAAGAGAAATATAATATATACTTATCTTGCCAATATGTTTTAACATATCTTGAGCTTTGTCATTCCTGTGCATCTACCACACATCATCATCATCATCTTGCTAAAGTTGCTCTTGCATCTGTAGTACAAACAATTATGAAACCTCACATTGACAAACACTATTGTCTAGCTTTAGTTAAAGCTACCTAGATTTTCACTGAAGTTTTCGCAAATGATGCTATAATCATCTCTCAAGATAATAAGGTTTAGATATTCCTGCAGTTGGTTGCATATTTAAAAGTATACAAACAATTAATGAACCAGTTATAGTTGCTGATCACAATTTTCTCACTGGCAGTAAAATAAAACTTATACCTTCTGTTTATCTCATTATTAATCCAGCCAATTCAAATGATAACCTGAGATTATGACAACTTGCAATCTTTATTAGACCAGAATATTTTATTGGCACCTTGTCATCAACTCATATTGTGATCTTCAGAGTCTCATCTTTAACAATCAGTTTGCTGTGGCTATGATGAAAGGAGATGAAGTTAAATTTATTTGGGTTCTTTTCACCCAACAAAAACACCAAACATATGAAAACATAGTCCAATACTGTAATTTCTTTTGTATATTTAATCTTGACTATCTAACTATTCATATACATGCCCAGGTCAAAGTGCTTTCAACCCTGTTAAAAAAAGCATGTTTTCTTTGTCTGAATAGCTTGCTAGCCTGTTGACAAGTTTGGATCACATCTAGATAGTCAAGGAAATGTATTAAATAAAAATTTGGCACATACTTTACTGAAACTATAAAAAAATAAAAAATATTATTATTATATATTTATTATGTTTTTATTATGTTTTAAAAAACA